GAGCCCCTTTTCCTACTCAGGCAAACTACCGCCGCAGATGGAGCTGCAGAGAGCTGGGAGGGCTCCCCAGCGAGCCCAGCACCCTGCAGCTGACTGGAAGCCAAGTACCTCCACCCACGGCCCTGGACAGTCCTATAAAAGCTGTGTCTTCACAGCCCCAGGTGTTTTACGGGATGACCTCATTTATTACCTTGCTCGTCACAGGAAATGATGTTTATCTAATCTACCATTCTTTCAGGGTTTTTTTTTCCCCCTGCCACATCTGGCTTCTTACATTTCTTACAGCTCAGTTCCTCCTTGCACCAAAACAAAGGAGAAATGGCACTGCTGCCGTCATGCCAGTGCCTCAATCCCACCAGTCTGAGAAGAAGCTGAGAAGCTTCAAAACCTGGAGCTCGCGTGCGGTGGCGAGTGGATCTAAGGATCTCAGACCTTAATCTCCCTCCTCTGCTGCATTCCTTAGTAGTGACAGCTACTTCTTGCAATATTCCTGACTGTGGGCTCTGAGGCACAGCTTTCCATCTGCCTGTCCAGTATCCAGCCAAACAGGTCCACATTCCTGAGCAGAAACGCTAGCACTGCCCCTCGGAGCGGCTCGAAAGCCTCGGATGGAAACTGGAACAAGTCACAAACGTGAGGGAAGGCAGCAGCAGCCAGGACCAGATCCACAGAAATGAGGGACAGTGGCAGCACCAGATCCACAAAAACAAGGGACAGTGGCAGCACCAGATCCACAAACACAAGGGGCAGTGGCAGGAGCAGGTCCCACTGCCCCAGCACGGAGCTGGGGACGCGCGCTGTGCGTGCCTGGGTGCCAGCGTGAGCCCACGCTGGTCACACCCTGCTCTGTCTCTACTCCAGGTTGTAAAATGCCACAGCCAAAACTCGTGCCCGCGAGCGGGTGCACCAGCCCCTGTGGCTCACCCTGCTCCTTCTGCCACAGGGCCCCAGCTCTCTCCTGCCCACCTCCAGCAGGACCCAGGGCTGCTCCCGCACCCCAGCGTGTCCCCAGGTGCCAGGGAAAGAGATTCGTATTTTTCTTTGTAATAAAAAGGCTCTCCCAGAAGCTTTCTGCTGATCCCAAAAGGATGTGAAAGCAATAAAACCCCTCCTTATTTTACAACCAAGCTGCAGGATTTTTTGCTACTGAGCACAACGACCTAAATGCTTGATTTCATAACCAGAAGGTCGCACCCTGCACCAGGAGCTCGGGACTTGCTGAATCCCCAGTTTTATGTCTGGGGGGGTCTCACAGCCAGACCTTGGCAGCTGACCTGGGCATCCAAACATCAGGGCAGCAGGTGAGTGGAGCAGAAAATTCCTGAGCTGCTGTAGACTAAAGCAGCCAGAGCCCCAACTAAACTTTTTCAGAGCTAATTTTAATGTTTCCCAGTCTAATATTTCCTGGTCTTATATAAATGCTTGGAAGGGAAAGTAATACTAATACTAATACTACTAATAATAATTATAATAACTCAACCACAAACAAAACAACAACAAAAGAAAGGCAAAGTAAACAATTTCTGAAATACTGCTGGGAAAAAAGGAGAATGAACAAATAGGGGTACAAGATATTCATCAATGCTCTGCTGCCCTATCCAAGATTTTATCCATTTATTCCCAAACGAAATCTATCACCCCATTTGTCACGACATCACGGGGGAAAAACTCATCGTCTGTTTTTCAGAGCTATCACATCTCTCCCTGCTCCAAGTGAAATCCCAGCTCACACACCGCACCCCACAACCGAACCGGACCCTTCACCCGGGATTTCTCGGCGCCCTTCATCACCCGGCGCCTCCAGCCCTAGGGATCACCACGGCGATAACGAACCAGAACCAGTCCCGAGGGCAGCGGTGGAAAGGGGTATTTGAACGCCTGTTCCCAGCCCGGATCTGCCTCCCTGGGCTGCACCCGCTGCCGGGACCCGGCTGCCCCCGCCGCGATGCGGGATGGGGGTCCCGGGGCGGTCCCCGAGCCCTTTCTGGGGTGAATCCCCGCTTTTCCTCTCCACTGGTTTCATTCGGGGTTACCTGCACCCAAGGAGCCGGAGCGCTGCGGGCTGGGGAAAACACTCGGAGGGGATAGGGTGGCAATGCACCGCATTTCCGACATGCCCACAAAATCCCTGGAATTTTATTAACGGCTGGAAGTTTAGTTGAGAAGGAAAAGGAGGGAAAACAGACACGCTGTCAGTGATGCTCCCACACAGCGCTCCGAGGCTCCGGGGGCAGCATCTTCCCCTCGCCGGGCTGGGGGACATCGGCAGTGACCCCGTTCAGCGGGGATGGCCCCCAAATCCCGGGATACGGGAGGGGAGAGGCTGCGGGGACAGCGCGGGGCTGCGGGCTCTTCCTGCCCGTTCCGGGCTCTTTCTGACCGGGGACGAAATGCGACTCCAAGGACGGGAGTTAAAAGGGAGGTTTGGGGATCTGGGGCAGGTGATTAATATTTTGTTGAACCAGGACAATAGTATCAGGGCAACTAATTAGGCGGGATAAATCTGTTTCCACACGCAAAGATTTCTATCAGGTTTGTGTCCGACGGCCATTCCGTCAGGAATTCCAGGATTAATCGGCGTTTGGGATCTCGGTGCGATTTAGGACAAAACTGCGCTTTTTAAGTTTAACCTCGCTCCCTTCAGAGAGGGGGTTCTCGAGCCCTGCTGCCCAGCCGCTCCCTCCGGCTCTTTCTGCCCGGAACCCGCCGGGAGCTGCCTCACATGGCTTTAATTTAATTTTATTTTTCCTGGGGTGTCATTCACCCGCGGGGGCCCGGGCTCGGCTCTTGCCACGCTGGGCTCCAGAACCCAGCTCAAAGCTGCCAGAGCCACATTTTATACATTCTAAAAAATTAAATAAAGCCGAATGTAAAGGAATTTATTCCCCGGGCCGTGTGGAGGGCAGAGGCGTTTGATCCGGGATCCCCGGCTGCGGCTTCCATAATTCCTCCGATTTCTTTAGAGCTGAACTCGCCCGTTTGGGAGCTTCCAGGGGCAGGGAAAGAGGAGCGCGGCCATCGGCTCCGGATGCCGTTCTCCCGATCCCTGACAGCGGCGCGGGTGACGGAGCGGGCCCGGGACAGAGCCCCCGGTGCTGCCGCCGCTCCCGGGAGCCCCGGTGGCTCCGTCCCGCCGCTTCCAGCGGGGCTGCCCAGCTCCCCCCGCAAACACGCTCGTGGCTTTGGATTTATCGATTTCCCCAGCAAACTCGGAGCTGCGCTCTCCAAACACAGCAATAATAATAGAGAAAATTGAAATAATAATAAAGAGGGCAAAAACAGGGACGGAAAAGAGATATTAATATTTTAAAAAATATTAAAATTCCCAGACAAGAACGGGCGTGGAAGAAAAAGTGTCCGTGAGCACAGGGGCTGCGGTCGAGCTTTTTGCACCATTTCTGCCTTTAGCCAGAGATATTTTAATTTTATTTTTCCTTTCTTTTTTCTTTTTTTAAATTTTTCTTTCCAAGACTAGGGAACTAGAGAATTTCCAAGGGCAAAAACCAGGCACTAAACGACAAATCCTTCCGATAGAAGACAAAAAATTCTAAGTAAAGGCGCTTTTGGAAAAAGGAGGGGAAAAACCTCACTGAACCACTATAACTCTAACCGAACTTCCAGACTAACATTCCCACTCCGGGATATTTCCCGAGCGTTCCGGGGCGCTCCTGCCCTGCCCAAGCCACAGAGGTAAGGTCGGTGCGGGCTCACGCACCCCTCAGCTTCTTGCGACCATTCCTCACTCCCGAATGTTTAATGAAACGCCTCTCCAGCATTCTGATTAAAGCTCAATTAATGCGGGTCATTAATGTCCCGCTGGCAGCCGCGTGTTCCTAGAATGGCCTTTCCTAGGGAAAGGGGATGCGGCGCACCGGGAGCGCCGCTCCCCCCGGAACGACCGGCGGCAGCTGGGGAAGAACCGCACGAACGGGAGGTTTTTCATGCAGTTACCGGGGATCGGCTACGGCCCGGACCAGCACCGGGACTGCGGGGCTGCAGCACCCACCGGCCCACGTTACCGAGCCGTCCCCGTGGCTGCGGTTCCGTTCTGGTTAAACGCATCCTCCCCATGCACAAAATTCTGTAAAAAATCGCGGGGAGAAGCCAAGAGCAGCGCTGGAATATTCCATAGTAGAGATCGCCCCGAGAACCAAACCGGACGCTCCCGAGCCCCTCTCATCGCTCTCACAACGGCCCGGCGGAAAATTTAGTACAGAATATTTTAGGGAGTTGAGCTGTTTTACCCACCGGTTCCTTGGGGTGTGGGGGACTGGTCAGGGTTCGGGGCAGAACCGGACGCGGGAGATCTCGGGGGTCGAGCGGGACCTTTGCCCGCAGCCCCGATCCCCACGCCGGTCCCGGAGGAAAAGGCATCGCCTCCCCCCTGGTCCCGGAGCGAAGCCCCGGTTCTGGAGCGGCAGAGGTGGGGGGGTCTCCGCAGACCCGGGTTTTGCCGAGATGGGGCTGCGGGACAGGCAGCACCGGCCCCAGAGCCGCGCCACTTCTCGTCTCCGTTAAACGCGTCCTTGCCCTCGGTACCGGTCCCGCCGAACGAGCCCGATCCGCCGCGGTGTGAAGCGGTTCGCGGCCCGCGCTGCCTCCCCCGCCGCCGGGCGCGGGGATCCGACCGGGGACGGCGGGACCGGGAGCACCGGGAGCTGCCGCCGGGGCATCCCCGGGCTTTCCACGCAAACCGTACGCGGCCGCCGGCGGGGTGGGCCCCGGGGCTCCCCGACAGCAGCGTCCGCCCGTCCGGGCCCTTCGGTACCGGGAAGGAGCGGCCGTGGTACCGCCCGAGGGAGAGCGGTGGGCCGGGGGCGGGTGGGCGCGCTGGCCCGCCGGGACCCGCCGCTTTCGTTTCAGTCTCGCCGGGGACAGCAGCGAGCCCTTCCCGACGGGCGGGGAGCAGCCCCGCGGGAGGGCGGACGCGGGGGGACCCGAGGGCAGGAGCGGGGCCCGGTCCGGTGCCGCTTTCCGCTGAGCCGCCGCGCTTTTCTTACCTTTCTTGATCACGGACTGATCGAGCAGGTTCATCCCGCCGTCGTCCACGGCCTGAAAGCACCGAGGGAAGGAAGAGCCGTCAGCCGGCCCCGGGCACCGGCTGCCGGCGGCGCGGGGACGGCCCGATCCCCCCGCTGCCCCCGGCCAGAGGGAATTCTGAGGACACGACCGAGCCCCAGTAATGGGAATCCCCGGCCCGGTGTTTCTGTTTGCCCGGGGGTACGGACGCCGTGGGGCCCGACTCGTCCCGGCCTGGAATCCTCGGTCGCACAGGCAGAGGGATCTGGCCCCGTCCCCGGACAACCAAGCCACCCCGGGCACCCTCCCGGTGCTCCCGCCGTCCCCCCGTACCTGGATGTCCTCGAGGCCGTGGTGGCCGAGGCCGTGGAGGCCCAGCGGGCCGTCGGCGAGGCCGTGGCCGCCGTCGGGCAGCCCGTGGAGCAGGCGGGGCACGGCGGGGTACTCGCGGCGAGGGTCGAGCCCCAGGGCTCGGTGGGTCTGCGAGAGCAGCCCCGGCTCGTCCTGCCGGCCGCGCTGCGGGGGCCAGGCCGGCTGCTGGTGCTGGTGCAGAGGGCTGAGCGCCGCGTACGGGTCCGCCAGGTGAGGGTAAGCGGGCTCCTGGCCCTGCGGGTAGGGCAACGGCGGCTGCGGGTACGGCGGGGGGAAGTAGGGCGGCTGGAAGTCGGCGGCGGGCGTGTGGCAGAGCGGCGGCGCCGAGCCATAGGGCGCCTGGTTGAGCGAGGGCAGCTGCGGCAGGCGGGCCCCGGCCGGCGCCCCGGGCAGCCCCTCGGCTCGGTCCTGCGGCGGCGAAAACAGCGGCGGTGAGGCGGGCACGGACCCCCGGCCCCAGTCCCCGACCTCCCGTCCCGTCCCGTCCCGTCCCGCCCCACGCGTGCTCGTCCCGCACTCACCATGCCCGGGTAGCTGTGCACAAGCATCGGTGCGGGCCCGCGGCAAGCCCCGGGCGGGCCGGGCCCCGGGGGTGCCCCCGTCTCCGCCCCTCTATCCCGCCGGAGCGGCGTCTCCCATCGCCCGCCCGCTCCTCTGCGCCGGCCCCGACTCCATGCACGCCAGTTATAGCGGCGGGGGCGCGCCCGCCGCCCCGGGAGCGCGCGTCAGAGCGCGGGGACGGGGACGCGCCGCCCGCTCCCGCGGGGCCCCGACGGCTCCCGACAGCGGGCGCGGCGGGACGGCGGCGGGAGGCGGCCGGGGCGGGGGGCGAGGGGCACCCGCCGCCCCCTGGGAGCGTGGCTGGTGCTACCCCCGCCCCGTCGGGAGGCCCCGGTCCCCGGTCCCCGGTCCAGCACACCCTCCCCGCGGTGCCACCCCGGGTCCCCTGCCCTGAGAGTTCTGCTGCGGAGCAAGCCCCGAGGGTCGGGAGAGCCCCAGAGTGCGGGCGGGCTGCGGGGCCGCGGCGATGCTCTACGGTTTGACTTTATTAGCCCGAGCCGGGTGCGGGGCGCCTCCGGGAGCGCTGCGAGGGCCCTGGCGGCAGCTGCGACCTCCCGGGAGCGCGGCAGGAGCGGGGCCCGGGGCCGGTCCTGCCGGGAGAGCTCGGGGCTCCTCCCGGGGCGCTTCACCCTCCTCCCCGACGGGGAGCGGGGAGCTGCATCCCGGACTGGGGACAGCGAGAATTGGCTGGGGATGCTCCGGGTCTGGCTCCCAGCCCGAGGAGACGGACGGGAGGACGGGCGCAGGGTGCAACAGAGCCAGGGGGAAACGGGGAGCACCGACGGGCAGCGTGCCTGCCTCTCCGCCCTCCTCCATCCCTCCCTCCGCCTCTCCGTCCCTCCCTCCGCCTCCCCATCCCTCCCTCACTCTCTGTTTGAGCCCTCCCTCCGGGGCAGGACGAGGCGGGCCCGCAACACCGGGTCCCTGAGCGCGGCACCGGGCACCGGACACCAGCGGGGCGAGCCGGCCAGGGAAGGAAGGTCCTGCCAGCGGCACTGAGTGACCCCAGTGCCATTCCCCCCTCCCCGATATCACGGCCACGCGGGTCCCACGGCCGAGCGGCGATGCCCATCCATCCCCACGGGCACACGCACACCCTCGGCCGCTCACAGCCCGGCACACGCTGGCGGCACCGGACACACGGTGACAGCTCCCGCGGCCCACGGGCGCCGTGGCCGGGCTGTGTCACCGCGGGTCCCAGCGGCCTCACCGTGCCACCCGCAGGGCGGGACCTTCCATTGGCAGCGCGTGTTTTACGCGGAGCAGAGCACAAACCCTTCACCCCCAGCTGCAGCACGCCGCGCTGTGTGATCGACATCAACAAACACAGCCCCACACTGCAGTTAATTTAATTCCACTCTTCCTGCCCCGAGCTACAGCTCCCTTCATTTTCATTTTTCCTCTGAATTCCCACAACTCAGACCTCTTTGATTTCCAGGTTTAATTAACAATGCTCATTAAATGAATTTTTATTCATTTCTTTTAATATTACCCTGCCACCTGTCTTTAGGAGGCATGGGCTGATCGTTTATTCTAATTTATTTCTGTTAAAGATGGCATTTAAGGGTGGGAGGAGGGATATGAAGAGGTATAGAGGGTTGATCCATTCAAATCTCTTCATCCCCCTCAAATGCTCTTCAAGGACGCTGCTCCTGGAAGTTCTGTATTTATTTTCCACCAGATCCATTTCATTTGCTAGGAAAAATTGGATTGGACATGCTGTATTTTGCAGTTATGTTCCAGTTCATTCTTAATGTCCCTTGCTCGTCTAGTGCGTATAATGTCGAGTCTTTATTCATCTGAAAGAGGTGAAACTGTGCAAAATCCATGCAGGAAGGGCTGTGAGTCAGCCTGCACAGGACAGCAGGCAAGCAGGAGAATGGTCCCTTGCAGCAGCTTGGAGGGAAGCTGTGTTTCCACCCAAAAATGAGACAGAGCAGAGGAAACCTGCAACACTGACAGACAAAGGGAAGGAAAAACAAAAGGCAGAGCTGTCCCACTGCCCCTCACAGAACATGCTGGGCAAACTGGGGTCATGGGAACACATCAGGCTGGGGCAGGGCCAGGCCAGCCTGGAGCTGTGGGGCTGTAGGGCTGTGGGGGGGTTGCCCTCCCCAGTACAACACAGCAGTGCTCAGGAAGGAGAAAAGGGACCTTGCAACAGACTCTGGGCTTTAGGGAACCCCCAGGAGCTCCCCTGCCCTGGCACCTTCTCTCACCTTCTCTGGGAACACAATCAGCACCTTCCCAGCCCTGGTGTCCTGCCCAGCAGCACCCCCAGAGCCCTACAAGAAGCAGAATTGTCCTTGCAAGATGACCAAGACCCACCTGAGTCCTTCAGTGCCCCAGACCCTTTGTACAGCACCTGTCTGATGATGCAAACCAAACCCCTGGGCCTCTCATGGACAGGAGGCACTCATTAAACCATGATGAACAATTATTCACTTTTTGCTGTCCTGAGGTCCCAGGCAGGGCCCAGGACTGTCACACAAGGGGTTGTCAGCGTACTCTCCCAGCAGCTGCCTGGCTTTTTACTGGTTCAACCTGGCCAGGACAATTGCTGGGATCACCTGAGCACTGGAGGCTCAAACACAGCTCCTTGCTACCTGCTTTTTAGCATCCCTGTTTAAGGACCACAAGTCCAGCTGTGCCACCCCTGCTACATCTCATGGCAGGAAGGAGGGGGCTGCCCTGGGTTCTGGCAGCACAGCAGCCAAATAACAACCTTATGAAATATTTAATTTTATTGCTAGGGCTTTTGGGGTGACATGAATAAATGCTGTAAGATAACGCATACCATGGTCAGGTTTGCAATGGCATTATGACATTTAAGCTGCCAAAGAGAAGCAGAATGTGGATCTGCTCCTCTGGGGCCATGTCCATCTTGTTGGAGCACAGTGAACAATCATCTTGCTCCTGGAGAGCTTGTCCTGGTGCTGGAAATGCACTGGGAGATAAAGCACAGTTTGCTTTGGGTGTTGCTGGCTGCAATCCCACTCTGTGCTGGGATCTCAAACACTGGCAGAGAGGGGATGTTAGATGATGCCACATCCACCTCTCTGGCACCAGATCACCAGTGCCCGTGGATGCCAGCTGCCAGAGGCAGAACCTGTGGTTGGGCTTGCAGAGCTCGGGGTGGCTGAGGACATCCTGCAGCCTTTGAAGCCTTGGCCAGGCTGCCAGGGCAGCATCTCCCTCGCGTGGGCTGGGCCAGCCGGGCGTGCTGGGGCCTGTGGACTGGCACACATGGAGCCAGAGGAGGTGCCCACGTGGCACGAGGCTTCCAACAGCTCCAGTGCCCTCCCCTCCTGAACATGCAGTGCTCCTGTTGTTAGCACTCAGTCTTGGGGAGGCAAAACAGTCTTTTTGGGGGTGCTCTGTCCAGGAATGTTTGGAAAGTGCCCTGGGACAAGAGAGCAATGATACTGCTCAAGGAGCTCGGCCATCTCCACTGGCATTCAGCCTGGTAACATCCCAGAGCCACGTGGGTGTCTCACCCCTTCCATTGTCAGCTCAGAGCTGTGAGGGGCTCATGAGGAGCACGTTTTGTTTCATGCAAGGAAACAAATGCATGACAAGATACCAGGGTCCCAGGGAGGGTCCAGCTCTGGCAGGGCACAGATGGTTCTGCTCACACTTGAGGGGACCTTACACCAAGGAGTGTGAGAATGAGGTGCAGATGCTCCTCTCCAGGCACCTGCTGGTGGCCAAACCCACTCCCTAAGATGGGGAAGGATAAAACTGCAAAACCTTCTGGGCTCTCAGTTTGCTCCCAGGTAGCCTCAGGGAATTAAAGACCAGTAGCCAAAGGCCTCTGGCTTAGGACTGTGCTAGTGCTGGAACTGTGGGCTCAGGCTGGATCTCTGGTCAGGTGTTGGAGCTCCAACCACTGCCCACGGGAATGAACCATGGCCAAACCAGATCAGCTGCCCACAGCAAGCCCAGCAGTGCACTGGGATAGTGGAACATCCTCCTGGTGATACAGGTCATATCTCTCATTAGCACTAATTAGTGGCTGTCATTAATGGGAAGCCCACGCCCCTGACCAGAGGCAAGAGAGCATACAGGACTGGGAGCACTTGAAGGTAAAGGCTTTGAGGGTTTGGGTGTTTTTCTGACACTGCATTGTATTCCCAGCTTTTCCTGCTGCTGTGTCCCTGTGGTGCAGGGATGTGTTCCTGGCAGGCTGAGGAGCCTCTCCCAGCCCAGCTCCACAAAGTTCTGCTCTTTTCTAAGGCCAGGAGGCTCATTTGCTGGTTTGGCTCGCACTGCTCTGCTGGCAGCACCTGCCTTTGTTCCAACTTGCACTGGCTGCTCAGGGCTGAGCTGAAAAGATCTGAAGATACTTTCCCTGAGCAGCAGCCTCCTCTCCAGTTGTGTAAGGCACTCGCTCTAATAAAGCAGCGAGCCAAAAACACAGTGTAAAGCAGGAATACACCCAGAGCCAGCCCTTCTTTTGAGGCAGCTTCGTGCTTGATTTTCCCTTGATCAGACGATTCACGGCCCCCCCCCAATGAGTTCTGATCAGCGCCTCGGGCTGGCAGCAGAGCCGGTCCCGGCGAGGCAGCAGCGCCCAGAGAACTCCTCGGCTGACACCTGGTGGAAAAGCGGGAGCAGGGAGAGCCGCCCCGATCAGCCTCAGCCTCAGCAGCCCCAGCAGCGGCCGCTCCTTCTGGGAAATGCCCTCGGGACAGCGCGGTACCCAAGAGCTGCAAGGCCAAGCTGGAAAGCCGGTGCTACAAGAGGTTTACTCCACGGTGCATGTGGCCTTTCTCTTCTGTAAAGCACGACGTTCTTTGGTCTGCAGGGAATCAGCAAGGGGGAGTTCACTCATTTTGGCTTCCACACCCTAAATGGAGCAGAGGCAGACTGAATCCTTCACATTGCAAGAATGGAAATCTCTTCCTCTGCATCCCATCCTGGCAGTGAGAGGGAGGAAATAGAAAATCCCATGGATGTACTTTGGGCAGGTGTTTGATGGGGCAAA